CAAGGTCCCCTCGGGAGCCCGTTCACTGCGGTGGCGCAAGTGTTTGCTGCAGCGGCACGGAAGTGGCGCGTGAAGGAGACGCATGATTGGGATGTGTATTATGGAGATGAGAGGAGTGAGACTCATATGGAGGCTCAGCCCAATCACAAGACTTTGGCTAGGACCAAACAATTCAGGTACTTATAACGTGATGAATTTCAACAAGATTTGAATTTGAATCCAACAAAAAAAGGTTTTTATCGAAAGAAGGGTTTCATTGAGTCAGTTATTAGTGAGTCCATTTGGCGGGCATGCCCAAGGGTGACGTGGGCCGTTGGCAAGTTTCCTGGTTGGACTTCATGAGTAAAACGCAAGGTCGTTCGACCAAACAAATAAAAACGTAGGGTCAACGTGGATCATATTATTAAGTGTAGACTGTGGATGGTGACCTCAGCAGGGCCATGTTTGCATCCTGAAGCAACTACTAAAAAAAAGGGGATGGAAGAGTCCAGTAGAAATATTTCAACTATATCTTATGCGCCATGCTTTTGTGTGACAGTAACAACTGATATGTTCAAAGCACTCAATTTATAACTCGTGCTTAATCTTTTGCTACATGTGTCATGATTTCGGGTCGATTGGTAATATATATACATATATAATGTCAACATCTCACGTGATGTTATTTACAATCACACTGAAATATTTTCTAAAAAGAAATGCGACTTATTCACGTCTATTTGTGATGTGCGTAGTTATATTCTTTGAATAAAGTATGGTTGATTTTTGATAACTATAGGTTTCTGGACAAGGCAATGATCATTGACAGCCTTGATGCATCGAGCAAAACGAGGAACCCTTGGAGACTGTGCTCTATAAATCAAGTGGAAGAAGTGAAGTTGGTCCTCCGTCTTATTCCGATATGGTTGAGTTGCTTAATGTTCAATGTCGTTCAATCTCAACTCCACACCTACTACACCAAGCAAGGTTCCAAGATGAACAGATCCATGGGACCCCATTTCCAGCTTCCCCCAGCGTCGCTTAAAGTCTTCGTCGGCATCACGATCCTAATCACCGTCCCAATCTATGACCGGATTTTCGTCCCGATGGCCCGAAAGCTCTTCGGACACCCCGCAGGCATAACCGTGCTACAAAGAATTGGCGTTGGCCTATTTCTCTCCATCCTCAACGTGGTTGCGGCAGCTCTAGTGGAGGCCAAAAGGGTTAGTGTGGCTAAACAACATGATCTCCTGGACAACCCTAAAGCAATTATACCAATTAGGGTTTGGTGGCTCCTCCCACAATACCTAATTTGTGGTTTGTCAGATACATTCGCAGTTGTGGGGCTCCAAGAATTGTTCTATGATCAAATGCCAGAGGGGCTGAGAAGTTTGGGGGCTGCAGCATATATTAGTATTCTAGGAATTGGAAGCTTCCTTAGTAGTGCCATTATATCTTTGGTGCAGGCGATTAGCTCCAAGTCGGGGGACGAATGGTTGGGAGACAATCTTAACCGAGCACACCTTGATTACTTCTATTGGGTACTTGCAGGATTGAGTGCTTTGAATTTGTGTGTTTATCTGTGGACTGCAAAGCGTTTTGTGTACAAAAAAGTTGAAGCCCAAAAACCAACTGGGGCAAAAAAAGCAGGCACTAGGGCTGGAGAAGTATGAGGCCATAGATGAGATGATGGTTTTAGTGGGTTTGCGACCTAGTGAAGTAAAAAAAAAAAACAAAGTTGTGCACTTGTATTGTAGCTAGTGTTTCCTTGTTCAATATGCTTTGGTTTTGAGTGCACAAAAACCTAAATAGTATCTTTGTCTAGCTCACATTAAGAAACAAAATTCATTGCTATCTGTGGATGGTTTTTAAGCATAAACTTGAATTAGGTCTTGCTAACAACAAAAAGACATAAAACATGGCTTAGTTTTGCATTGTGATCAGGATCACAAAACGCAAACATTTTCATTAAATTGGAGAAATGGTTACTGCAACATACATTCAACATGGCAGCGGAATATCAAAATTTACTTTATAAAGCTGAAGTATCTCATAGTGGCTATGCCATAGAAAACTCAAAATAGGCCAATTTAGTTGATGTACTGTCGATTTGGTCAATTTTGTTTATATATTTGATTTCGTTGGCCAATATAGTCCATTATCTAATTATTTAGATTTATAAAAAAATTCAGTTAGAAAAAGAAAATTAAATAACATTAACAATAAGATTTCTCTTGATGGCAACACTTGACAAAATGGTCAAATTGATAACAACAGAACTACGATGTCAAATTGAGTCATCATTAAAAGGCTAGTACATCCTAGCAGACAAAAAATAAACCGAGGATCCAGATCCGATGTGTTTTTCTTAAGTTTTTAGAAGTCATTTTACAAAGAGGTAAATTTATCTTTAAAATTTTGAAGATGAGATAAATGGGAAAATAGGACGGGGTGGAAATAACACTCTTAATTATATGTGGCCTATTTGTTAGGGCCATATAGGCCCATCCATGAGCCCAAAAATTCTTAACTCTTGGTTAGGGCCTGAGCTTAGCTTACTTAAGATATGACTGGCTCCAACCTGTTCAACTCTTAGAGCCAAAAAAGCCCGTAACTTAATAATGCTTAAGCTAGCACCTTTAAGAGGAGATTGAAGCCAAATAGTCCACATATGCCACAAACACATATAAGAACACACTCATGACAACCTCCCTCCCCAAGAGAGCATAGCTTCTTTAATCACAGGTTCAAATAATTTCACTCCTGTATCAGCCCATCTTAATAGCCGTCCCCAATACACTTATTTTTTTTACACAGGTCCAGTTTGGTCGATTTTGCCGGTTTGCCAGTTTATTTGCCCGCATCTATTATTATTATTATTTTGTTGTTTGGGAAATATAGAGAGAGTTGAATCTTTGTTTTTTTTGGTTACATTGAGAGGAAAGACAACCCACCTTAGTGTTTCGATCCATGAGGGAAGGGAGATGCCACCACCACTGTGGTGGGAACCCATTGGCTTAAATCTCCTTCTTTTTACAGTACTTTGGAGCATTGTTACAAATGTTATTCATTTAGGATGTGACCTTGTGGCCGAGTAATGATTTTCCCTTTATTATTAGAAGTCTTTTTCTAAACTCTGACAAATCAAGTTGTGGTTGTTCCACGTTTTAGGTAGTAGTGATCTGTTTGTATTTTTGTTACTGAAGAAAATTATAAAAAGACAAGGAACGTTAGTGCGGTGGAGGTTGTAGGTTTGTAGCTCCAAGTTATTGAGCTTGGATCAGCACTTGAGATGTGTACATAACTAATGGCGGATCTATAAAGACGCAAGAAGGTGCATGCACTTTCTCTCGTTGGAAAAATCATTGTAGGTGCTTCAAACTGTTGTTTTGCTTAACTGGTGATGGTGCACAGATTACACCTTATTTCCATAGTCCAAGTAAATGTCTTTGTTCTTTTACTTTTATTTATTTTTATATTACTCCATTTACTTAAGTTTACAATGTAAATAAGGAAGTGCCCCCCATTTGGATTCAAATAAAAATACTAGAAAATCAAATTCCCACAAAATCAAAATATGAAAAATCGGTTTTAGTGCAAAATACGATTTATGCTAAAAATGATGGTTCATTAAGTCAATATATACTTCATAATAAAATCCCATAAAATCAAGTTTTCTTATTTGATGTGTAAGGAATAAAAGCCGCCAAAAATTATCTTGAGAAAATGATTATTTTAAAATACCATTTTTCATACTTAGTCAATATTTTTACATAAAACAATTTTTCATGGATGATATGAATGAATGAAGGGACCTAAAGTCAATCTAGGTAAAAAGCCTTAGATGTTCAGTCTAAATAAAAAGCCTTAGATGTTCAATCCACAAATAATTTTTAGCCTTTCAAAATTGCACCTCCGTTAAAAAATTCCTGGGTCTCGAACCCAACCTGAGGGAGCAATTATTCCAAACCAGCACACCATTGAGTTCTTTGTGTATTTAATTGTAGTTAATGATTTACTTGTTGCTGCAAAACTTGGAAAATAAGTTGTTTTTGCGAAAACCTGTTTATTCTTATGTTATCTTAGTTCTTTGGACTCATATGATTTAACTGAATTAATGACTGTACTTGGATAATCAAATATAGTCACCAAATAATGTGGAAGTGTTTCGTTTACTCAAAACCCTATCATATGATGTGAAAGTGTTTGTAGCATGATTACTTATTAGGAATAAGTACTTGAATTATTGGCTCATTTGAAAGTGCTTTTGGAACTGCAAAACGCCAATAGGTAAAAAAAGCTTATAATAATAGAGGAGGTTCCAAATAAATAGAATTCTAAATTAAAAAAAAAACAAAAAAAAACTTGCCAACATATAAAATACATTGTATACATTTTCTAGCATTATTTTATGATTTAGTGAGCTCATCTCCAACAATTGATGAGATAGGAAAAATTCCTCTGCCTTATCCTTAATGCTCATTTATGAGAATAGCCTGCAACTTTGCTAAAAAGAAAAAAAAGAAAGAAAACAAATACATGATTTTGAGAGATCAACCATTACGTACCTTGTTTTTTTTTCCTACCTTTCCAATAGCAGCCAAACCTAAAATGTTCACGTCTCTTTTGTGTCCGCACCGTCCAAGTAAAAAAGCCAGCTTTTCTTCTTTCCCTCCTCCTTTAAATTTGTTTTTTGAGGAGCTTCTTTATTAAGAGGAGTGATAATATACTAAACTCACACAAACTACACGAATTCTAGAATTCGAATCCAGAACTTTATCTGAAAGAGCAATTGCTCCAAATCATTAGTGTCCTTTGCTTCTCCTCCCCTCTATTTATTTTGTCTTTTCAAATCTGTTCTTTTTTTTTGTCAACATCAATTAAATCTGATTGAGCACCTACTTTACATAAAATGACATGCTATAATAAATACCCACAGAGTTTGCTAAGTACCACTTGTATGTATGCGAGTGCACTTAGAATATACTCAAAATTGAACCTCAAACATTCAACAATTTGTTATGGATACCTCTGGCTCTGCACCACCATTAAGGATTCAAAATGACCATGAAGACAGAGAGCAGAATCTCATCTGCCAAGAAGAACCTTCCAGTTCCAGAGGTGGCTGGGGTGCTGCTATTTTCATAATCTGTAAGCCAACTTCGTCCTCTTCCGCTTCTGCTTCTTCTTAGAGTTTTTTTAAATTAATCTCCAAAATCTTTTTGTATTTGATTGTTTCAGTTGTTGAGGTGGCAGAGAGATTTGCTTACTATGGTATGGCTGGTAACCTCATCACATACCTCACAAATGAACTCCATGAGCCAGTCCCCATGGCTGCAAAAAATGTCAATACTTGGGTTGGAGTGTCATCTCTCCTCCCAATACTTGGAGCCTTCATAGCTGATGCGTTTCTTGGTAGATTCAACACCATCCTTGTCTCCTCCATCATTTATTTACTGGTAAAGTTCAGCCAAAACTGATTTCATTAGTTACCCTTTTAAATAAAAACCATGATTCTTAGTTTTTCATGTCTTTCTGCAGGCAATGGTATTGCTAACCATAACAGTTTCGGTAATTCCTCTGCATTATCAGAAGGCAATGTTCTTTGTAGCACTTTACATGTTGTCAGTTGGACTAGCTGGGCACAAACCATGTGTGCAAACCTTTGCAGCAGACCAGTTTCGTGAAGACTCACCGGAGGAGAAAAAGGCGAAGAGCTCATTCTTCAACTGGTGGTACTTGGGGATCACAATTGGTGCCTCTGCTGCCATTTTAGTAGTCATATATGTGCAGGTCAACAGCCTCTTCCTTTGATCATATTACATACACAAATAGTTTGTTTTGGGGGGAATTTTAGACACGAAATTCAATTACCTTTTCGCATCCAATCCAAAAATTCTGTGTCCCGTTTGTGACAGTTTTTCATTTATTTACAACCAGTAAGAAAGTGACATGTAAGTTGCTTGGTGATTAAAATTAGGGAAAATTTTTTGTGACACTGTTGTTTTATTAATTCCTTATGTTCAAAATATACCAAAGTATATGTCAGCATTTTAAAACTTTGTCCTTGAATTGTGCATGTAGTCATTTATGTATGAATGCTAAGATCAACACAATAATACTGCGGGCCTTTTAGCCTCACAATCATTTAATGATTATTGGAATTCTAAATCTCCCAAAATTTAATGATCATTGGAATTCTGAATCTCCCAAAATTTGTCACTCCTTGGTGCAGGATAATGTTGGATGGGCGGCAGGGTTTGGCATATTGACAGGGGCAATAGCGGTAGCTT